GAATAATATACTTTATATGTGTTATAATAATGAAATTTCTGTAGTAAGATAATATATTTTATGAGTTAGAATAATGTACTTTGTGTTAGAATAATGTATTTTATAAGTTAGAATAATGTAAAATGTACTTTGTGTTAGAATAATGAAATTTTTGAAATAAGATAATGTATTTTATAAGTTATAATAATGTATTTTATATGTTACAATAATGTATTTTATGAATTAGAATAATGTACTTTATGTATTTTTAGATCGTAGTCCACACAGTTATGTGGTCACGTGGACCACAATCCATGCAATAATGGTTGGTATATATTGCCCAAGACTTTATTAAAAGATTTTCCTTTATTTATTATTTAATTTTGCTTTCAGAAATTCAGAATTATGAAATTTGAAATTTTGGCCCGGAAAAGGTTGGAGCTAAAAAGTGGGCTCCAATGGATACAACAGTAGATCGGGCTGGGCCCGGTTCGGTCATGGGACAGCCGACGTGAAGCGCAGTTCATCTTCGTCTTTACGCTCCACCCACTATGATGAAATTTGTTTTTGACTAATTTATTTCAGAGTAATATCATTTTTGGTCCATTGACTATCATAGCTGAAGTACTTTAGTCTTTGACTATTTAAAAAAAAAAAAAAAAAGAAATTAGGTACATGACTTTCTAACTAGTATCACTTTTGGTCCTCCGATCTAATTTTTCCGGTCACATATTACTGAAATTTCAATTGAAAAAATATTGTGTTGTAATTAGAAGGGTATTTTGATCTTTTCAAATTTATTTCATTTTCCTCTTTTATTTTTTTTTTCTTCTTCCCGCTTTCTTCTTCAGCTCCCCCGCTTTAAAAGAGGAAAATAAAATAAAATTGAAACGACCAAAATACCCTTCTAATTATAACATATTATTTTTCCGGTTGGAATTCCGGTAATATGTGGCCGGAAAATATGACCGGACGATCAAAAGTGATACTAGTTAGAAAGTCATGCACCTAATTTGAAAAAGCAATAGTCAAGGACCAAAAATGCTTCAGCTATAATAGTCAAGGGACCAAAAGTGATATTTACTCTTTATTTTAAGACCAATATTAGTGTCATTTACCATTCACAAACTTGCTACTTTTTGATATGACAAATTTTAATTGGTTAATACATGAAATATAAAAGGAAAAAAAAAAAGAAAATCAAACAAATTAAAATTTATCACATTAGGGAACGACACTGGCAAGTTTGTGAGTGGTAATTGTAAGGGTACTAAGACTATACTGGTTTAATTAACTGGTCTATAGACGGTATTTGAGAGAAGAGAACAACGTTTGAATCTCGACAACGACAGTGTGAGAATTATGTTTAAAGTGGAAAGATCCATTGTGCGCACCGACAATTGGCCCGTTTAAGCCATTAAGTCACCGTGATTTACATCATCCGAAATGTTCTACTAGATCGGAATATGGGAACCCTTTGAATTAGAGATTCAACCTTTTGGGAGAAGGGGTACTAAACATTTTTCTTATGCTTATTAGTTTTTTCGTGTCTAGCAATTATATATATAATCACAAAAGGTACTTTAAATAATATATTATTATTAGGGTCAAATATTTTATTTTTTTAATAACAAAAAAAGTCTGCAACCACTATTCAATAATATAGACAAAATAAATCTCACTTTGTGATCCTAACACGTATATGATTACAGGGTCAAATTTAAAATTTTACTTCAAAAAATACCCAAACACTCATTATTTTGACAGGAAGTTATTAATGTGCCGACTTGACTTTTAAATTTTCATATAGTAAATGTCATAAAATAATAGGTGTACCAAATATCTCATTAATTATCATGTGAGATCGTAATTTTAAGTAAGATTACACATTTAATGCCTAACCTCCACAAAGGTTACAAAATAAAAATAAAAATAAATAAATAAATAAAATAAAAATAATTCCCCTCTCAGCAAGAATAAATAAAATTAAAACTTGCAACATTACGGAATGAAAAATTTGTGAGTAGTAAATGTAGAGGCATTAAGCATAATCTTAAGCATAAAATGCTGTAAAAAAAAAAAAAAAAAAGTCTTAGCAGGAAAGTATGATTGCAACTCACCAAACTTGATGAGTCTCCATGAATATTTTTCAAAAATATGTATTCCATTATTTTTGTTACTATATATTATCATGAAAAAATAATGAATCTTGTGAATGGAGTAACATGTGTTGAAAAAGATGTTTTCAAAAAAAAAAAAAAGTTGTTAAAAGAATTAATTAAAAATGACTTTTAAAATAGTCATTTTCAAGCTTGGCTCTATCTAGGATTAGTCAAGGCGACAACACAGGACCTCAATAAATTGAAAAGTATTTTTATACTTGAAAAGTATGTTTCGAGAATTCATAAATTGATTTTAATTACAATTAAAAATAAAATGTTTGAAGAATTTGACATCAAAATTTTGGTGAATGATTTTGTATATAAATATGTACGAATTTGATAGGTTAGATTGTAGTAATAGAAAAAAGGTTAAATTTTGAATTGCATTTTTTTGGTTAAAATTTTATGCATTATATTTTAACAAATAAAATTTTTTATTACATTTTTATTTTATATTCATACATATAATAATAATAATAATAATAATAATAATAATAATAATAATAATAATAATAATAATAATAATAATAATAATAATAATAATAATAATAATAATAAGATAATCCAAATTTTAGGCCATATTTTTTAGTAGAGTCCATTCTCAATTTAGAGTGAGATAAAAATGAATTTGGATTCTCCTAAGGGCATCTCCAATGCAGCATTTTTAAGGGAGACAATTAGGAGAAGGGCTATAGGAAAGGGGAGAAAGGGGGAAATGCTTTCTCAAGAGAGAACTGTTTCTCCGGAGAAAGCATTGCCAAGAGCGTGGCGCACAAAGCTATTCCCACTCTCTATTTTATGTATAATTTTTTTTTTTTTTCAAAAGCCAATTTGTTTTTCAATGGCTTGGTTTTTTAATTTTTTATTTGTTATTCTATTTTTTAATTTTTTTTTATTAATTGTTGGTATATATGGCATTTAAAATTTGATTTCAAACTTTTATTTTGTTATTTAAATTTATTTTTATTTAAAATAAAAAATTGAATTATTAATTATAGAGAAGTGAATAAAATAATAGATGATGCGTAGAATATGAGCCCACAAAAAAATGAGAGAGAAAGAGATAAGTATTGGAGAGAAAATATGAGAGGAAATTATATGGTATTGTAGATGAGATGGTCCACAAAATGAGGAGATAAGGGGAGAAGGGTTGTGGATACCTTAAGTTCCTGTTTGGTTTACGGTAATTTAGCTATAGTTGAATTGGAATTCAATAGAGGCTTAAATAACGTTGCTTGGTTGGAGGGAATTGCAATTTCCCCCTTTTGTTGAATTGCAATTCAATGGATGTGAGAAAGGAAAAATAGATGAAATGACTCTACTACCCTTGATTATTATTACTACTATTATTATTACATAAGGGTATTTTAGTCTTTATACCACGTCTTTCTTTCTCTACTCCAATAATTCTATTTCTCCATACCAAACAACGTAATTTGAATTCCTACTTTATTCTTTTCTTCCCTAATTCATTCCTTCTAACCAGGAATACAAGAGTGAGTTTCATGTGAAATGGTTGCATGGATCCTAATATGTGAGACGGGTTGGGTCATGATTGAAATGTAATACTTATACTAAAATATGTAATACTAATCATGAATAAATTTTTTGTTACTTGTATAAAAAAAAATGTAATACTTTTAAAGAAAAATATACAGAGTAACACTTTTAAATGAAAATGTAATATTTATGATTGAATAGTTATTTATAAGAAAATATGTAATATTTTTTTGGTATAAGGAAAAATGTAATATTTAATCAAGGATAAATAGCTTAATTGTTACTTATGAGAGAAAAATATATACTCCGTATAGTTATGACAAAAAAAATGTGACTTTTGATTGAAAATGTAATACTTTTAAATCAAAATGTAATATTGAAAGTTGAAGAGTCATTGATGAAAATTGTAATACTTATCAAAATCCTTACCCGTTTCACGTATAAGAATCCTGGCAAATTATACCGTGCACCAGGGCACACAATGCATTGTGCGCCTTGGCTCAAAACGACGTCGTTTTGTACATTTTCGCGTGTCTACCGTTAACTCTTTAAAAAATAAATTCATGTTTCGAATGTACATAATTGTATAATAGAATACACATAATTTTATACCTGAAAACACATAATTTTATAACTGAATACACATAATCTTTTTTGAAAGAATAATACACATAATCTAACATAATATATAATATACATAAACTCTTAACATAATATAAATAAACTCTTAACATAATACACATAAACTCTTTAAAAAAAAAATCCATGTTTCGAATGTACAGAATTATATAATAGAATGTACATAATTTTATACCTGAAAACACAGAGTTTTATACTTGAAAACACATAATTTTATAACTGAAAATTCCCATGTTTCGAATGTACAAAATTATATAATACAATGCATAGGATTTTATCCCTGAAATTAACAAAACGACGTTATTTTGAGAGGCGCAGGACTCACATTGCTATGTGCACCTTGATGCACGTATAACGACTGGAGAATCCTTGAGACCGTCTCATAAGAGAATTTGCACGAATATAAAAGTTTCATTATCATTTTAGGAAGTAAACATGATAACATAAAGGGAATGAAAAATATCATATATATTTTTTTCTTGAAACATAGTTGATGATGCATGTGAATGTAAGATGTTGAAGGTGACCACCTTCAATAAGAAAATTCCATATTTGTAAACATCTTCAATAAGAAAACGGTGATGCAGAGTATTCCTTGCCTCATTAAAAATTAATAAGTCAAAAGTATAATTTACTAAAGAAATTGTTTTTGGTTGGATAGGGCCATCAGTCCAACTTTTGGCGGTGTCGGGTGGGGGGGGGGGGGGCGGGGGGGGGGTGATGGCTCCTCCAATCTTTGATTTCAAAAGTTTCAAAAACTTGTTATCATTTTCTCTTCAAAAAATAGCCTCCATAGCCTCCCAACAAAAGGAAATCTCAACGACCACCACCATTTCCACCCAACATTGCTTCTTTATCGATCATCCAGCAATAAAGATTTGAGCTTTGTGACAGTGGACTCGTTCTTGTTCACACCCATTCCGTAAAAGAAGGTGGGAATTGAACTGGAAATCTGGGGAGAGAAGGAAGATGAATGTTGTGGGCAGGCAAATGCAGAGATCTAGCTCAACTGGCCACAACAACCGCCAGTTCTCAGATAACTTCATTGACACTGCGTTTAATAACAAGTGGCTTCAATCTGCTGGCCTCCATCATCTCCACTCTTCCAACCCAAATGTCCCCCCTCTTCAGGTCCTCACTCCTAGCTCCTTATGTTTTGTTTTATAAGTTTACAGTTTCCTGCTTATCATCTCCCTTGAAAAAGCAAGTAGGGTATCCATGTCTGCAACAAATTGAATTCTTTTGGCCAATGGCTATTCATGGTGTAATGCTTGGGATGGGATGTCTTGTTTTTGTGGAGAAATGCTGAATCAGAAGATAAATAATGGAATTCTCAGGAATTTGAATTTTTAACCAGGATGATTTGTTTCTTTTTTCTTGGACCCTTGTTGTGTTTGTTTGCATGTTGATATGCTAAGAATATAGTAGAAATTGGGGTAACCCAGTTAAGATTGCAAGAGATCCACACTTGTAACTACGAGGTCACGAGTTCGAATTCTTGCCCTCTTGGTTTGAGCCGATTAGTTATGAGTAACCTAGGTTGATTTAGTGATTCTTTATCGGCTAGGGTCAATAGTGAGATTTACCTACATCCAAAAGGGTCGTGGGGTTTCCCTCGTCATAAAAAGAAAGTAGAAATTTCTTGCTCAGATTTTTTTATTTCAAGATTAATCTGGGATAGTAGGGTGGGGAGTGATTTTTGAATTGGAATATCAGAGGATAAGTATGTGGACATGGTAGTGTTTGAGGGGAACTGATTCCCATTGGGTAAAAGTAAAGACTATAAGGACACCTTAATCCTTTATGTCTCTTCAAAGGACAGGGCTGTTTATTATATGCAGCCAAAGATCTTTTGGATGTGTCTCTTTGATGCTGTTACTGGTGCATGTTTGACCCATTTTTTGAATTTAAACGACTACAGGATTTTGGGTTCTATGGTAATAATGTGGGCGGGCAGGGGCCAAAGCTGGGAAGGAATATGCCGAGGAGTGTAAATGGAGGAAGCAACGAAGATGCTTCCACTCCTCCCGCTTGTTCACGCTCATCAAGCATGAGAGGGAATGGTGGCTTAGAGGGAATGTTGCCCAATGAGCTGAGCCCTGGATTGCTTGACTTGCATTCGTTCGATACTGAGCTCATATCAGAGGTTTGCATACACTTCTCGTCGGTTTTAAAATCAAGCTCTACATATTATGTAGCCTTTTAGCTCCCACGCACTAATTGTGGCATATTATATCATTTGCAGGTTCCTTCTAATTACAATGGATTTGCCCTCAAGCAGCCTCTTGCTGCTCGAAGCTTTGATGATTCTGACCCATATATCTCCACTAACAAACTCGGTAATGGTGGGCGTGGTTTGGCTGATAATAGCCTTCTTAAGAGCTTCTCTGCTGATAAGGAAAAGGCAAATGTTGCTAAGATCAAAGTTGTGGTATGCCTTTTTGCAGTAGCGCTTGAAGTGTTAGAAAAGATGAAATAGAAAAATACTTATTATGTTTCTTTATATTTGTGATTTATAGTGCTAGCCATATTTGAATGCAGGTGCGGAAAAGACCTCTTAATAGAAAGGAAATATCAAAGAAAGAAGAAGACGCCGTTGCAATAGATCCTCACAACAATTCACTTACTGTTCATGAAACAAAGCTGAAGGCGAGTTTCTATTGGCTGTTGAACTTATCCTATAGTCAATCCTAACTAATATTAATGCTTAACCAGCTTGGTTGACGTGAATGGCCATGCACTCTCATCCCTTAAGAGAGGTCGGGAGTTTGAGCCCTCTCTTGTATGGAAAAATCAATCTGGCCAGCACTTTGCCCCTTAATTGGGCGCCCGATGCGAATGGGGATTAGTCTGAGTATGGTACGGGCTTAAAGGTGCCTCCTACAGTTAGGGCCTGCTTAGGACACCTGCCTGACAAAAAAAAAACTAATATTAATGCTTCGGGATTACAACCATGTGCTGCTGATCTCATCCATCCTTCGACCTTTGCTACTTTCTTAAAAATGTTATGTTCGTTACTTTTTTAAAAATGTTATGTTATGAGATGGTTACCATTTGCAAGGCAACTAATGTCCGGTTTTTGTAGGTTGACCTGACTGAATATGTCGAGAGACATGAATTTGTTTTCGATGCTGTACTGAATGAAAATGTTTCAAACGATGAAGTGAGTATTATGGAGGAGCGAAGGAATTCATTATCTCTCAATGATTAGTTTATCAGCTTATAACTTATTCTCCTGTCGTAGGTGTACTTAGAGACAGTGGCGCCCATAGTCCCGTTAATTTTTCAGCGAACAAAAGCTACCTGCTTTGCATATGGGCAAACAGGCAAGTCATTTTCCTCTCTTCTAAGAAATTCTTGCAAAAATCGCTAAAGTATTGTAATTCCCACAACATGCTAGCGATGAAAAAATACTGCATTTGTTCATTGTTCTATGAAAGAAATGATTCGTAGTGAGATAAGTTTGTTCGTAGAACATGATTATAATGGGATTTATTGCCTATTTGAAATATCCTGCCGATTTCCTACTTAATACTTAACTTTTTAGTCGGTCTTTTCATGGTAACTATGGCCTGCTTATCCTATTTTGCTTCTAAAGAGACATTTTTTACCCGTCTCTGTTGAGTCTTCGTCTTTTCCCACAAGTATAGATGTGACCCGAAGTCTCGTTTGTTGCAATGTATAAGCAACAGATGTGATCGAGGTCTCGTTTTGTTGCAATGTATAAGCATGTCGTATAGGATAAATTACTTTTTGACTAAATTTTCTTATTGAAAAGAATTTCCTCAGGCAGTGGAAAGACATATACAATGCAACCATTGCCTCTTAAAGCAGCTGGGGACGTCTTCTCGTTAATGCACCACAATTATCGCAATCAGGGATTTCAACTTTTTGTCAGTTTCTATGAAATATATGGAGGCAAAGTATTTGACCTTCTGAATGAGAGGAAGTAAGTGCCTCGGTTTATGGCATACAAGTATACGACCTTACAATATCGAATCTACCTCTGATAGTATATCGTCTATGGTACTTTTGCAGAAAGCTATGCATGAGGGAGGACGGGAAGCAACAGGTCTGCATCGTGGGCTTACAGGAATACAGAGTGTCAGAAGTGGAGACGGTGAAGGAATTGATCGAGAAAGGAAACGCCACCAGAAGCACGGGCACCACTGGTGCTAACGAGGAATCCTCCCGTTCACATGCTATACTTCAGCTTGCAATCAAGAGATTCGTCGATGGAAATGCATCAAAGCCTGCTCGAATTGTTGGCAAGCTATCGTTTATCGACCTAGCTGGTAGTGAACGCGGTGCTGATACCACTGATAACGACAAACAGACAAGGTAAAAACACATGATTTATAATTTTTTTTTTTTTTTTTTTTTTTTCAACTCGACTTTACTAATCATTGCTGTGGCTATAATCTTTATTCCATAGAACTGTTCCTGTTTGGTAACACAGTTTATTAGCCAATTTTGGCTTATTTGACCACTATTAGTTGTTTAACTAGGTTAAACAATCAATATGATTAATTAGCTTTTCGTAACAACTTATTGCTCTAAAATGCTAAAATTCAAAAAGCTTTTTCGATAAGCTTTTTTGAGAAAGTCATTTTGCATGTAATCAGCAATCAGCTAACAACTAATTTACCAAACACTTTTCTACAATCAGCTAATGCTATCAACTAGTCAAACTCACTAACCCAATCAGCTAACAGTTATCAGCTAACAACTATTTACTAAACACTCCCAAAATATAATTAATCATTAAATGACATTGTTTTTTTTTTTTTTTTTTTGTCACAGAATGGAAGGTGCAGAAATTAATAAAAGCTTATTAGCTTTAAAAGAGTGCATTAGAGCTCTTGACAATGATCAAGGCCATATTCCATTCAGAGGGAGTAAGCTCACTGAAGTTCTTAGGGATTCGTTTGTCGGTGACTCTCGAACTGTCATGATATCGTGCATCTCGCCAAATTCAGGGTCGTGCGAACACACCCTCAACACGCTAAGATATGCAGACAGGTAATATTCTTTCGTTTAATTGGAAATAGACGACGGTTTTCTTGAATACTCACTGTTTCTTGATTTCAGGGTCAAGAGTCTATCTAAGGGTAGTGGCCCCAAAAGAGAACCTCCTTCGTTGTCAAACCTCAGAAACTCGATTGCAGTCCCCTTATCCTCGGTTCTGCCAACTGTCTCAGGCTCCGAGGAAAATATGGCTAATGTTTCTCAGGAAACTAGTAGAGCCAACTTGACTAAACAAACTGAAAAGGAGCCTTTTCAACACGTTGAGCGTGTTCCTAGTGGAAGGTCACAATTCAATTTGGCTGATGACCAGAAGAGGAGAACTGGCCACATTGACATAAAAGAAAACGATTTTGATTATTCTGAAGAGAGCCGTGGACAAGAGAAGCCTTCATGGATGGTAAATAAGAAAGGTGATAGCTTCCAGATATCGACCTTGGAGGATAAGATGAGAAAAAACGGGCATAAGGATCTCCCGCACTTCGGGACAGACAACATAAATTCAGAGGACGATCTCAATACGCTGCTGAAGGTATTTGAAATGTGAAAATTCCCGTTGAGCCTTAAAGATAATTATACTCGACTTCTGATTGAAACCGTGCATTGCTGTTTATTAGGAAGAAGAAGCTCTTCTTAATGCACATCGCAAACAGGTCGAGGATACCATGGATCTTGTCAGAGAGGTTTGTGTTATTCCCTTTTACTCAGAATTTCGAACTGAAAATTACCCAACATTTTCTTACATTAATTCGAATTTTCCCCCCCTTAGGAGATGAACCTGCTGGTAGAAGTTGATCAACCCGGTAACCAGCTCGATGACTATATCTCCAGACTGCATAGACTTCTGTCACAAAAGGCAGCTGGTATTATGCAACTACAAACCCGCTTAGCCGAGTTTCAGAAGCATCTCAAAGAACAGAATGTTTTCATACCTGCTGCTACGAACTGATATCCGGTTTGCAGAAAAGGTTTTCGCTTAGGCATGCCACGATGGGTTGTGCTTCGTTTCTTCAACTGGTAAGCAACTTCACCTTCTTGTGAGTGATTGGTTTACCAGATATGCATTCCATGTGGATTGTGAGGATACATTTATGTCTGCTATTATCTGTATTGCTGCTGTTATTCGATTTTCGAACAAAAACATAGAGGGAGGGAGAGTCATTTACTTCTACCTATGTATTGGGGTTCTATGCTTGTAAAACTGTTGCTATGTATAGAGTTGAATATATTGCTAATGAGATTTAGTGTTCTGCTCTGATAATGTTCTTTTCCATGCATTTTATACAATTATGTGTAACGTTTCACCCACAATTTACATAAATTTTGGGGCAAATTTAGCTGAGTTGGTCGAACATCTGACTTGGTAAATGGTAATCATAAGGTTACTTCCTGTGGAAGCTCTTTATTGGCCTAATGGATTTCTTAGTTTGAATCGGTCAGCTATGAACTTGTATTGGTTTACTTGTTTATGGTCCTTTGTTGATCAGGGTCACGAGGTGGCCTGGACTTTATCCAAAGCGTACCTTTATTGACTTTGTGTTTAGGGTGAGAGTTGAACTCTTTATCAAATAGGTCAAGAGTCTGTCCTAGGTTGAGGGCTGGTCCTTATTCCTTATCATCATGTAAAGAAATTAATTGATGAGAAAGTATCAAACGATCTCTTATTAAAGTTTATTGACATTGGATTTAGACTTTTATAGTCTTTTAAGTCTTAGGGTATTCAACAACTTATTGACTTTATTAGATTTAGACTATTATATCATTATCAACTTTTTCCTCACAAATATAAATAGTTTAAATTCAACCCTTCAACCTCAAACTTTTTAACTTTCTTTTCAAATTTTTTTGTCCCCGTTTGAATCACAAACTTTTTATCTTTTCTTGTCAAATTTTATGGTATGTTCCATAATATTTATAAATACTCATATACTTTTGATTTTGATTTTTTTTTATTTTCATATATATAGGGAAAAAAGGTTGTTGGGATGGTATTAAGGAACTCCCGAACTTGGATAGTGATACTTATTTCTTAGAATGATTGAACACGGATACAAAGAATGATTTTTAATAAGGGAAAATGACATTTTTTTTTCCTGAGTTATGTACTTATAACACTTTTTTTCCCTAAATTATTTATATAAGCACATTAGCCCCCTCAATTATTCTAAAAGTGGTGATTTTTCCCCATGATATATTAAATTGACATTTCTACCCTTAAAGTAAACATTTTATATATTTTATTTCTCCAACAAATTGTTGCGTATACGTAAGGATGACCACAGCTCGGTTCGAACTGCATCGGACACTATACCAATCTAATTAAAAGTTTTCGGTTATGATTTAGATCTATAACCCAATATTTGGATTTCAATTTATTAAAATTATGAATAAAAAAAAAAGGATCCTGAATCGTGAACCAGCGGTTCCGGATCCGGTTCGCGATTTTGAACCATCTTTATTTTAAAATAGTCTAAATTCAACAATAAATATATTTTATTTTTTCAATTCGGAACATGAATCGGCTGTTCCGGTTTGCGATTTTAATAAACTCTAAATATTGAGTTTCGATTTTAAATTGTAATTGGAATATTTCGGTTTGGTTGCTATAGTGTCTATTTGGTTTGAACCAAATTATGGTCATAATTTGTTGGAGAAGAAAAATAAATGAAATATTTATTTTAAGGGTAAATATGTCCATTTAACATTTCAGGGGGAAAACAGCTACTTGAATAATTTAGGGGGAAAAGTGCTATAAGTATATAACTCAGGGGGAGAAAGTGTTATTTTACCTTTTTAGTATATTAAAAATGTATTGTATTCATGGTCCGCACAATTAGGGGTGACCGCGGTTCTGATTCCGCAAATGGAAAAATCGGAACTGGAACCTTATAGTAAGGTTCCGGTTCCGGTTCCAGTTCCAGTTCAGAACTGGCGGCTCTGGTTGGAATTGCCGGTTCTAACCGAATTTATTTTAAAAAAAAAAACAAAAAAAAAAACACTATAATTTTTAGTTTTTTCCAGTTTGGAACCGGAACCGTCGGATCCGGTTCCTTTTCATCTCGAACCATATGGTTCTGGTTCCGGTTAAGAATCGGAACCGAAACCGTATGTACGGTTCGATTTCGATTCCGGTTCAACAGTGCACGGTTCGGTTCGAACCGTTCGGTTTGAACCGAACCGTGGGGCGTGGTCACCCTACACACAATACCATAAATAAAAAGTACATTTTTAATATATTAAAAATGCATAAAGTACATAATTTGAAAGTACATTATTTGAATACTAAAAATACATTATTTTGTATATTGTCATATAATATACACAAATAATATACTTTTAGTATATTAAAATGTACATTACATTTGTGGTCTACACAACGTTGACGTTGTGCGGTTGTGCCCAAGAAGGTGAAGGGGTCGGCTAGAGGTAGAAAAGACATGGTAAGCATAAAGGTAGAGGAAGCGAGTAAGGGAGCAAAATGTCAAGGGCTGCAATGTTCTCGAGCCAAATTCGCAACCTCAACCATTTATATGAAACAATACAAAAAAAAAAAAAAAAAAAAAAATTTAAAAGTAATGTTAAGAAAAGAAAAGAGCTTCTAGTAAAAAAAATAGTAATTATAACAATAATACTATGAACTTCTAGTCAAATAGGGAAAATGACATTTTTTCTCCCTGAATTATATACTTATAGTACTTTTTTCCCCTTGAATTATTCATGTAAGCACATTAGCCCCCTCAATTATTTTAAAAGTGGCGGTTTTCTCCCCTGATATATTAAATTGGCATTTCTACCCTTAAAATGAACATTTTATTTATTTTTCTTCTCCAACAAATTATTGCGTATACGTAGGGATGACCACGGTTCGATTTGAATTGAACTGGACACAATAACAATCGAATTAAAAGTTTCCGGTTATGATTCAGATCCAGAACCCAATATTTGGATTTCAGTTTATTAAAATCATGAATCAAAAAAATTGGATCGTGAACCGTGAATCGGCGGTTCCGAATCCGGTTCACGATTTTGAACCGTGTTTATTTTAAAATTTTATTTTTTATTTTAAAATAGTCTAAATTCAACAATAAATGTTTTTTTCAGTTTGGAACATGAACCGGCCGTCCCGCTTTGCGATTTTAATAAACTCTAAATATCGGGTTTCGATTCTAAATTGTAATTAGAATATTTCGGTTTGGTTGCTATAGTGTCTGTTTGGTTTGAACCAAATTGTGGTCATAATTTGTTGGAAAAGAAAAATAAATGAAATATTTATATTAAGGGTAAATATGTCCATTTAATATTTCATGGGGAAAAACGACCACTTGAATAATTCAGGATGAAAAAGTGTTATAAGTATATAACTCATGCGGAAAAAGTGTCATTTTCCCTACTAAAAATACATTAATTGATAATATACAAAATAATGTACTTTCAGTATTCAAATAATGTACTTTACGTTCACAAATAATGTACTTTTAGTATATTAAAAATGTACTTTTTATGGTTTGCACAACACCAACCATGATCCATGGAATAATAATACTTAGAGCATCCTCATCAGAGGATAATATGGGGATAATAGTACACAAATATGCAGCTCAACAGATGGGAGAAGGGGAGAATGGAGAAAATAATCCTCCTGCAAAGAAGGGGAGAATGGCAGAAAAAAAAAAAAAAAAAAAACAGCGCAGTTCCGCGCGTATCGCGGAACTGACACGCCCCCGGAGGCGCGTCAGGCGCGCCTGACGCGACTGATTTCTTTATTTTTTTTATTTTAAAAATCAATTTTGTTTTTTTTTCCTCCCCTTCCCACATTCTCTCTCCTAATCACTCTTACATTATCCCCCCAATCTTCCCAACTAATGTGGATGCTCTTAGAGCATCCATAGTGGTTTGGTTTTTGCACGGTATTTACGAAGACAACTAGGAGAGAGGAGAGGGAGAGAGAATAAGGAAAAAGAAAAAAAAAAGTCAAACGCGTCAGAATTGACGTGAAAAAACAATCACAGATGCAGTGCACGCGTCCGACTGGGCATATGCTCCTCTTTTTCTTGTTTTTTCTCTCTCCAGGTGGAGCCCACAAATAACTTACCTTGTAGATGATTCCCATTTTTCTTATCCCAAAAGGCTGATTCCCATTTTTCTCTCTCATCCATATGCACAGGTACTGTTCCAAAAACTCAATATAATGCACGGATGTGCATGCTCTTACCACTCCCCTTGGCAAAGACTTTCCCAATAAAAAGGGTTTTCCTAACCCCATGGCCCCATCACAATCAAATAGAAAAAAAAGACAATTTTATAACATTACGTCAAATACTAGAAAATAAAATAATTTTTAAAATGTCTCATTTTAAATTTTTGTTTTTAAAAATATTTTCTTGATTTCCAAACAAATCATTTGTATTCATTGAAGGTATCCCGGTTAATATTCAATAAATTCAATTAAGGTATCCCGGTTAATATTCAATAAATTCAATTAACTTATTAATTGAACAACTTTCAATAAGGCTACAAATGCATTTCACTGAAAATATGTATAAAATTATATACTGCTGTCAAATACTAATATAGTTACAAATGCATAGTCCTCATAATATTAAAAAGAAAATATTTTTACATTAAAATAAAACAAAACTAAATAAGGATAATATCTAATTTAATTTTATCTTATGAACAAAATATATTATAAGATTGGATGACAATAAAAATTCTCGATAAAAGAAAATGTTAATTATATCAAAATTTTTATACAAAAATGTTATTTCAAATGCTTTAATTTAATTTGTTAAAAGTTCTATGTATATTTATTTATGTTTTATGGATTAGTCAATTTTATTTTTCATAAACACATGTGCAATAATATAAAATTTAGTACAAGTCAAGTAATATTATCGTTACGTTCTTGAAATATATATATTATTGAAGAAAATAAAAAATTGACAAGTATCTAAAGTTGAGCTTATCTTTGTAGAGAAAAACCAATCGGAAGCTATAAAGATGCCAATTGCCAATGGCATTTGATTGCATGAACAACATATTGAAATGACATTACTTTGAAAGCAAAACTTGTGGGAGGAATAATTGAAATCGAGACACATGATGATGTGACATTTGGCTAATGAAGAGTACAATGAAAGGAAAGGAAAATTGGCATTTGCTTAACAACATTATACTATGCTACTCTCATATTCAAAGATTCCAATCCCACCTAGCTAGCCCTCACCTAACTTCATTATTTCCAACTTAATTGTGTTTTAC